TTACCAAGTATTTGATTCACATTCCGATTCTCATTTCCATGTGTGAGAACCAAAGACACCCTAAGAGTTATTCTAGGGGTTAAATTTTTTTACATTATATATGACATATTGTGATATATTAAGATCAAATTCCGGTGGTGGGGACTTATTCTTTGGACTAAATGACTGAAGAATTATAAAATGAATACTATCTTGTAAAAAATCATGAGTATTTCAAAAAAAAAAAAATAATTATCAAATAAAAAATTAATTAACTAAACAATAAATCGATCATAATCCGATATTTATAATATTTGCCAATAAAATATCTATAGTACTCCAAATAGAACTCGGAAAAAATGAGATAAAATAATTAGAACTCTCATATTGTTCACCTCTTTTGTGTGATTTGTACACTATTACAACTCTAAAAGAAGTATTCTAGATTTTTCTTAAACCCGGCAGGGACCAATTTTCTGTTATTATCCTAAGATTTCCACTCACCCAATGCCAATGGGATTTTAGCCAGGCTTTTTGCGTGCCAATATTAATTCATCATTAATAGCTTTAATTTTCCTTTGTTTGAATCAATTAAAACAATATTTATGGATTCTAACGACATACTAATTATTAGAATTTCACATGCTCTATGTCACTATGTGTAGATTTTTAAAATTGAAGATTCAATCCTTTGAGAAAAGATATAAAGGAAATTTCAAAAAGATTAAATTAAATTAATGTTTTTTTATCACTGGTATTAATAGGGAAGGGATCAGATGCGAGGGGCTTCTCGTGAGGTTGTGCGGTTGGACTCACATTAAATATTAAACTGACGCACTTTAAGTACACAACACACGCACATTAAACACACAAACAAAATACATTAAGAAATCAGAACAGAAACTCATGCACCTTAAGCACAAAACTCACGCATCTTAACCACAACCCTCACGCACCTTAAGCATAAAAACACACGTATCTTAAGTTTCAACAACTACTCACATTAAGCACAAACTCACAGACCTTAAGCACAAGATCGACTCACGCACCTTAAACACAAGACTCACACACCATAAGTACAAAACTCACTCACCTTAAGCACAAACTCATGCACCTTAAGTTTCAACAACTACTCACATTAAGTACACACTCACGCACTTTAAGTACAAAACTCACGCACCTTAAGCACAAGCCTCACGCACCTTAAGTACAAAACTCATACACATTACTCACCGCACAGCCGTATTGAAAACATGCACCCGCACTGGAACTTAATTCAATATTAATAATATCAAATATAATTAAATATGATATATCAAGTTGTATCGAGTATTATTAATGCAAGTGCTAATAATATTTGATACAACCAACTGTGCAGTATCTTATTGCATCTGAGTATTATGGATATGGTAAAAGAAAATTATATGGACTATTAATTAATATGCTTTTTATGTTAAAATGTATCGCATTAAAATATTATATAAATAGACTAATTTATTCGATGGATTTGTGGAGGGTTTAAAGAGAACTGTCATCTCGATATACCCCTACTGCCACATTACATCAAAGGCTAACCATAAAATTTATTCAAAATTGTTAAAAGTTAGGTGACAGCTTCTTGTGTTTGGCCAAAACTTGTCCATTAAAAGTAAAATTCTAGTCTTGGGGACCTTCACACTCCGTCCCTATCGGATTAAATTTGTGGAGGAGTTGGCCAAACCTAACCATATCATTTTGGTCCCCTAATAAAATTTTGGTCCCCTTAGATAGCCGCTTATGCTACTCTACCACTCAACTAGTACCTAGTGCTTACTATAATTGCGCATGATCAAAAAATAGATGTGTATTTATAGAAGTTTTAATTTCTAGTTGATCTTCAAATTATTTTAAGTTTTTAACGTTTCAAAATTTTCTAATAAAAAATTCTAGCTTCCAGATTTGTATCAGGTGTTGTATATACACAGGATATATAACATTATATTCACTTTAACTTGGTAGGTTAGTAGATATGTCAGTAAAAAAATAAAGTTATTTGGTTGTTGGATGGAGGTTTGGAGAGTAAAGTCTGTCAGCTTGTCATTAAAACATGGCATGACTGCTACGCAAGTTTAAGAAAATAAACTTACACCATTGTTATTAGCTATAATTTTTGATGTAGTGATAAGTGTTTGATTTTGGTATTCGCAATGTAAAACCCAGGCCACAGCTTTAGGAGATAAATTTTAGTTCCGTTTCTTTTCTGGCCTGGGGACCATTTCTATGACATTATCCTCTGATTTCCATGCAATCCAACTAGTAATTGACCATGTGTTTTATGTGTCGATATTAAATATGTGCATGGTCTTTGATAGATAGGCTTGCTACACATAAAATCATTTGAATTGATAACTCATTCATTTCTGTCTGATTCAATTGATGATTCGTGATTGAAATTATTTATTATTTTATTTTTTGTAATATTAGTTTAATATATATTTGTTAGATAGGAGTTTGGAGGACCAAGTCAAATATTTTGATATTCAAACATGACATTGATTGCTACACAAGTTTATGAAAATAAAGTTACAATTTTGCTACTAATTATAGTTTTTGACATAGTGGTAAGTATTTGATTTTAATAATTAGTATCAAAGTAAGTCGGCATGTTGTCCAACTCAGCTTCTAGCTAAAGACCCTAATTATAGGTACTTGATCCTAACAATATTAGTGTATAAAATTTATATATTTAAAAGGGAATAACTTCCTATATTACTCATCACGAACTAAAATTGTACCATTTTGGTGACGAGAGAGAAACTCACAGTTATTTCGAATGGTAAAAAATTACACTTTAGTTCACGAGTTATATAGGAAGTGTAGTTTTATCTTATTAATATGGAATTCTAATAATACCACTAATTAGCTAGTACTCACCAAGGAGGTTTATTTACTTGTTCTTCTAACAAGTGCTGTCATTTTGGATTGATCATAATCTAAACAACACTATATAGAAATGGTAAAATTATACTTTTGTTATAAATTGCAACCTAATCTCATGTGAATCTTGTGAAATTGTACGCTCAAAACAGAAGAAGAAAGAAGGAGAGAAGAAGAACATATTGAACTCATGAACTCCGATCCATAACACTTTATTAGATAACCGTTGATATATATATATATATATATATATATATATATATATATATATATACACACACACATATATATAATACAATCATGGAAAAACGGTATCCGATCAGGGAGGAGAAAACTAAGATAATGGCCACAAATAGATATATTTATAACAACTTTTAGCATTATTTTCTTCATTATTACTTGTAACTCAAAAGAGAGATGGTCATTTTATCTATTCATCCCCTATTTTCATAATTTAAGGTGTGTTTGGTTGACAGGTTTTAGTTATCAAGATTGGGTATCAAAGTCATTGTTATTGTTTGGTTGACAGGTTTTGAGAAAATTATTATGGGTTTTGATTACCCATTAATTGAAAAATTCATTCCTAATAAAATAAGGGTTTCATTCTATTATTCATCTTCATAAAAAATCAAACAGCAATATTGATAATCATTCTCATTCCACCTACTACCAAACATGCAAAATACTTTCACCAAAATCCATTACCATTATCAAATATTTGATACATATTCCGATTACGATTTCCATGTGCCAACCAAACACACCCTTAGTACTCTCTTAATTAATACAAGCTAGGACAATACTTGTACTCCTCATCATCACACTTGTGAATCGAAGTTCTAATATAATCCACATTTGAAACCTAAGAATTATTTTATTATAGTCTTATTATAAGCTGGTCTTGTACTCTTGTAGATATTTCATTACAATCAAATCATAATAAACTATAGGAAAAATTGAAATTTATGTCCCTTCATAATATGTCGAGTTAATGAACGATTTGGTCCCTCAATTATTAGCGAACTGTCAATGTAGTCTCCCAATTGCTTATTCATCGATTTGGTCCCCGAAAACAATTATTTTTAGTCGATTTAGTCCCTCAGGCCGTCGTCCGTCGACTGCCAGAGGGACTAAATCGACTAAAAATAATTGTTTTCAGGAACCAAATCGATGAATAAGCAATTGAGGGACTACATTGACAGTTCGCTAATAATTGAGGGACTAAATCGTTGATTAACTCTAATATGTCAATTATATATCAATGTCACATTTGAATTATTAGTGGTGTAAATGTTGCCCTTCAATTTTCAAAACGGTACATATAGTGTTCTCCCGTAGTGTAAATGTTGCCTCTCAATTTTTAAAACGGTACATATATCGGGGCGATATATGTACCGTTTTGAAAATTGATGGACAATATTTACGCCATTAATTGACATATTATGGAGAGGCATAAATTTACAATTTTCACTAAACTATAATTAAGTTGGAAATCTAAAAAATTAAATTACGGAATTGATTGAGTTTGGATGAAACTGGAGAGGACTTTGGTTTGAAAAAAAAAAAAAAAACAAAAAACAAAAAACAAAAACAAAAAACAAACAAGAGGATAAAGGATAAAGAAAGCAGATGTTTATTTGCCACTCTTATTTAAGGATAAAGCTAAGGATTCATAGTCCAACATGGAGTTGATGAAGTCCATGTTTTACATTTATTGTTGGGGCTGGTAGGGTTACAACATCCACTTGATTTGCCGACTAGATTAGCCGGTCACCGGAGTCCTTATGACAACGTTGCTACAGTCGACGAAAAGACGAACTCGGTCAAGCCTATAATCCCTGGTTACGGGGCAGTTATGGTAAACCACCACAACATTCAAGTCGCTGTTTTCTTTCTCAATCGTAGATTTTGCTAAAAATGCATCCACTCCGACCAGTTCCGGCCAGCTACTCTTACCTTCAATGAGGGAAAAAGAAACAAGCCGACATAGATCGAGTTAGTATATATGTAAGAAGTTGCAGTGATCGATCATTAATCAGTAAACACAGTATATATGAAGCATATATTAATTGGTGAGAATGAAAATGCATAATTTTAATATATACCGTCGGTGATGCGCTGCATCTTCTTGATGTTTGGAGCCTGGATTTGTAGTTAACTTTGCCTCTCTTTGTGGTTGGTTTCAATTGTGAGGAATGGATAGCTATTTATAGAAGGGCCGGGGGCTAAGTAAGCTAAGCCATATAATTAATTAAACAAGTTATCATGTTTGTGACTAGGAGCGTAGGACAGCTGGTCTTGAGATTTAAGGTTGACCGGTGGACTCGACCAAGAGAGATATTGATAAGAATTAAATTCATAATTTTCTGGTATAAAAATTATGTTCTACCCACTCGATTACCCTTTTCAGAGCATTTTCGAGACAGTATAATTTTTTTTTTTATTAATATGATGAGTAGCTATGGTTGATTCAAAAATAAAAAATAAATAAAAGGTAAAAAAAGTGACTATTGTTTTTTCCATTTTCTTCCTTCAATAAAATATAAACAAATAACACGAATTTTTTTTAAGTACAGTTATCATTTTCTTTGTTGATATATAGTTGGTGTATTATTTCTTTGCCACAATAAATGATATATGACGTGTCATGAAATGCAAACACAAATAGCATAGGTAACTAATCTGTTGGTCCCGATAGATTGAGTGGTGAGTCTAGAGGGGGGGGGGGTGAATAGACTCTCGTTTTTCTTTAGATTCTTTAAAAGAAAAAACCTGACAACACTTTTGAGTGAGATAAGCACAGCGGAAAGGTTATAAGGAGAGGGTTGCACGAGTTTTACAAAAAGATAAGATGAGTGATGAAAGAGATGATATGCAAGCAGTAAAATAAAGCAGTAAGTAAAGAGAAGAGCGAGACGAGATTTTATAGTGGTTCGGCCAAACTTTGCCTACTTCCACTCTTCTTCCACAACTGCTGGAAGGATTGCACTATCACTCTTTAGTACAATTACACAAAGACTTCCTTGATCACTAAGCCGGACAGCCTTTGAAGGTTTTTCAACTCCGAGAGTTTACTCCGCCTCTATCAACTTCTTCTTCTAAGTTGAGGTTGGTGAGAAAGTATTTCTTGATTCCTCCAACTGTGAAGTCTTGTTGGTGTGGGATGATTGCTTCAAGAGTGCAAGACTTCTTACAAGATGTAGGGCAGCGATGGATGATCTACTTCAAATGCCTTAACACCTTAAATAACTGGTTCGCAAAAAGCTTTGAGATTGTTCACTTTTTAAGAACTTTTTGCAAAAGAGTGAGTAGAGTGATAATGAACCAGCACCTTCTTAGTTGATGAAGGTTGGTTTATATAGGTGATGAAAATTCATCCGTTGGAGGGAGATGAATTTTTCAAACCTTTTATCTGTTGGACAAGGACCATGGAGCCTCATGCATTTAATGCTCCATTAATGGGTTTGTACTTTGTAGCCGTTGAAGGTATGGAGGATCTGATGACTTTTGTCTTTTAGCTCCAGAGATAGTACAACTTCATTAAATGCTCTTTGGATAGCGTGTCCCATGAGTTGAGGTCCTTATTGTCCTAGGATGTTGTCAAATCAGACAGGTAGAGCATTCTTCTTGTTGATGAGAAGAAGAATACTTGTTGAGATAGTCTTGAAAAGAACTTTCTTTTTAATGACAACTCCTTCTTTCGTTGCTGTGGAGTCTTCTTTCGCCTTGATCAGCCTATCTTCTATTCATAACTCTTTTCGTGTGTTTGTTCTAGCTTAACACGAATTACATATGAGTTATGGCAACTTTCGTCTAGAACGAAAGTAGCGATACAATAAAAAACGTAAGAATTAGGGGTCTACTTTCTACATTACATTGGTATCATCAAAATCCTAATACAAGGTTCCTAACATAATCAATTGTAACGAATCATATTGGATAATTTCAATTCAAAATCCTAATGAAAAAAATCACATGATGCATTAGGATTAATTTCAATTCAAAATTTATTATTATTATTATTATTATTATTATTATTATTATTATTATTATTATTATTAGTAATTCACCCGCGCGATGCACGAGAAAAAATTATGTTATTATAAATATAAATAAAAAATAAAAAAACTAAAATATTTTAAATTATTTAATATAATAATATTTTTGAGTTTCCATTGGTCAAGTATTTATTATTTTTATAGAATACAAAATTACAATTAAAATTAATATTAATATTAAAATTATAATTTTATATGGTTAATATAATCTCTAATTATGTGCATATTCAAATAAACTTATAGAGAGAATTTACATAATTACATAGATTTATTCTTAATTGTATTTCATCTATATTATAATTTTCACAATACGAATAATAATTAAGATAATTACATTTGGAAAGTAAATTTCAAATTTTGTATGTGTAAATTTAAACTCTAATTGAACACATTTTTTATATGATTATATAATATATAGCTATTTTATTTTTCAAAAGTATATTTTTTATATGATTATATAATATATAGCTATTTTATTTTTTAAATGTTGTGCTTTTTTTTTTTAATAATAAAGGATGTTGTGGCATTAATTGTAACATTAATTATTTTCCAAACCATATAGCTTTATTATATAAAGGATTATTATTATTGTCATTATCACAAGAACTTTCATTTGTCTTATATTTATTCCATTATTTATGTCGAAGGATATGAAGAGTTGTATAGATGTATATATATTCATATTGAAGGCTTAATGAAGGGATGATGTTAAATTAATGAGTTCTATATCTTGTGTTCTACTTTTCTCTCTACTCTTCCATTCCATTTTGCAATCTTGTTCATACGTACAATCCACACATTACGTACAATAATCCAGGTAGACTGGACTAACGGAAGGCCAAATTACACCATTTAATAACTAATCAATTGTAATGAATCATATTAGATAAGTTGTTTGGCAATTGTTATACCCTCGATCGACCAGATGCATTATGAACCACAGTCTAAAAAATTAGGTGTCTGTCGTTAACACATTATGTTGTGTTTTCAGTTAATAAATTATTTGTCTATAAAATAAATTGAAGACGCATAATATGTTAACTATAGGCACATAATATATTAACTACAAGCGCATAACACTGCTTGAAATTATGGAATTTGCGACCACCTGAAAGTAATCTTATATCAAGTCGAAGCAAAAAGTGGTCGGAAATAGCAATTTTCCGGATACTAAAAGTGGTCGGAACAAGGCTTTCGACTTGATTTAAGATCATTTTCATGTGGTTGGAAATTCCATAATTTTCAGCAGTGTAATATGTTAACTGCAGACACATGTTAACTACATATTATGTGCTTTCAATTTATTTACAGGCACATAATATATGAATTGTAAGTACATAATATGTTAATGCGGACATATAGACACTATTTGGTAGAACTTAGGCTCTGTTTGGTAGAGCGTATAACTTATTTTAAGCTACAAATAAGCTATAAGCTCTGTTTGATGAAACACGTGGAACTTAAAATAATAGCTTATTTTGAAACGCTACCCGAAGTAATGTTTCAAAATAAGTTCATGGCTTTTTAACTTTTTTTTTTCTATTTTTCTTTATTAATTTACAAAAATGACATCATCTACTGTTCATTAATCAAAATCATAATATCTTAGTTTATCCTTTTGTCTTTTTACGCTTATAAGCTAATTAAACAATTAGTTTAACTGCCAAGGACCTTGTGGTCTAATGGCACCAAGTTGTTCCCTTATATGGGAGGTTTGGGTTCAAACCTTAGTGAATGTAATATTGACTCTTACAATACTACATTGTAATAAAGTCATATTAAAAAAAAATTAGTTTTACCAAACACTTTAATTTAATTAGTTAGCTTATTAGCTACTAGTATTTTAGCTAGGCGATACTACATTGTAATAGAGTCAGTAGTATTTTAAAAAAAAATAATTTTACCAAATACTTTAATTTAATTAGTTAGCTTATTAGCTACTAGTTTTTTAGCTAGACGTGTTAAACAGAGCATTATGTTTTAAAAATTATTTTTTAAAAAATATTTATGATGACCTGTTAGAAACCTACAAATTGGAGGAATTACATGAAATTGGTTAGTTTAGGAATTTAATTGTAGGTTTTTTTTTAGGTTCAGTGACCTAATTGCATTATCATGTGCAGTTGGATGGCCTATTTGACCTTTATTCCTAAGAATTATATTCTATTATTTGAGTCAGGAATAAATTTTACAATATTTTAGAATTATAGATTTAAATTTTCGTAAGGAAAAAGTATGTCGCCAAGCACCTTGTGCACAGATGGCATGTAGTGACTTTCTCATATGGGAGGTCATGAGATTGAGCCTTAGTAGAAGCAGTACAGTGTTGACTCTTTGTGCTTCAACATGTTGAGAAAGTATAGTTGCAGCCTCTTTTATTAGAAAAGAAGCCTAGAGGCATCAAAACGGGCTAATCCGTCTCATCTTGCAAAATGGGCGGGGCAAGTATTGAGTTTTATCTCCTAGTGTGTGTATATTATATTAATTATATACGTAAGTATATGTTTATTTATTTAATTATACTATGAAAAGTGCATTAGTAATTAGTACATTATACAAATGATTTGTTTTTGACTTATGAATTAATAAAATATTTGTAGTTTAATAGCACATTTGTGACTTTCTTAAACGGAATGTTACAGGTTTGAACTTTGAATCTTAGTGTGGTCATTGATTTTTGTGCGTCAATAGGTTAAGAAAGTATGTACGGACATATGCTACATTGTAATGGAGTCATTAGTATCAAAAAGGAAAAACAAAAACAAAAAATCTTAGCAAAATCAAACAATTTTCATAAGCGAATATTTAGTACACATTTTTTAGATTGTAAATTTCTTTCAACCAAGAAGATAAGAATTTGGAGCCATACACTCATACTGCACAAATCTCTGTCACACGTTGGCTTAGGACATCCTCAATAGTGGTAGGATTTTAAGAAAATTTTGCACGTGTGATTAGGAAAGATAAATGGGTAAAAAAAAAAGGAAAAATAGAAAACACAATAAAAAACTGAAAAAACTCTCAACCGCCCCCCCCCCCCCCCCCCCCCCCCCCCAAATCCCCTAAAATCCCCCAAAATTCTGACAAAATCCCTTTAACAACCCCAACCCTCTCTCTCATCTCTCCTCTCTCTTCCAACACATCA